GCTTAAATTAACTTCTTAAGTTCTTAAGTTTGAGTCGACGACGTAAATAATTTAGTAATCATTTTTTTTCATTGAAAATAAGAGATTTTAAATTTAAATTGCATAATATACGAGTGAAGTGAGATAAAGATGAAAAATGATTGCTTCCTATTGTATAACCAACAAAAAAAAAAAAGTTCTTAAGTTCAAGAGTTTAAACTTTATTTCACCCATCACAAGCAACAATGTTTTATGCTTTAAATCTATATTCCAGACCTTCTAAATTCCAGTCTATATTTCTTTATCACTACAAACTAATATTTTAAAGAAAATAACATGGTCCAGTTAGATGATCACCTCCCTCCAACATTTTTATTGACAATTCACCCATTTTAGTTGTCAATGGGGGCCAATTGACCCTTATTTCACAAATGACGACATCCAAAGTCATCTAACCTCAAATGTATGTTTGGTCTGTCACCTCTATCTACCACGTTAGTGGCTTTTCTTTTTTTTAAAAAAAAAAATTTCCTGACCTGCAAATTTTCTTCTTTCTTTTCCCTTCCCTTGGACTCCACGTTTTTTCTCCTTTTTTTCTTTTTTTCTTTTTTTCTTTTTCTCTATTGTTGAAAAATAAATGGCCTTAACTTACGATTTAAATCAACTCTATAAAATCCCTTTTTTGTTCTTTTTTTATCCTTCAATGTGAAAAAAAAAAAAGGCTTCAAAGTCAAGAGGAAGCAAAACCAAAGAAAAATTCCAATTTAAAAAAAAAATCTAGTGGAGTAGTTGGACGTGGTAATGGACCAAGTGAATATGTGACGGATTTATGACAACAGATAATGTCTGCCGCGAGATAAAAGCCAACTTGCCTAGATTGATAACTAGAAGAAGTAATTTGCCATGGAAAAAGTTGAGGGCGTGATCATCAAATGGAAATGGAGTTGAATGGTTGATTTATATAATTTGTCAAATTAATATGAAATAACTTTTATTTATAATTTTACATATTAATTAATAATAAACTCTTTTGATTTGCATCTGATTCTTGTAGGTTGACAACTTTATATCCGATTATAAAGTGCACCCCTCAATTTTAAGATTAGAATTTGAATATCTTCCTCTCATTGTACACTGCTTAAAAAAAAAAAAAAACTCTTTTAACTTTACTAAAACATTTTGATATTTTATTTAAAAAAAACATTTTGATATTAAATATATTTATTATATATGTAAATTATATAAACGGTTGTAAGTAAAGATTTTCCTAAATAATGACCTGCATTTTAATGAGATATTTTTCAATATAGAAAATGTCAATATTTTTTTAAACTAAATTAAAATTTTATATAAATACAATCATGCATACCAAACGTTCAAACAAAGAGAGAGAGAAAAAAAAAAACTAGTCATTCATTGGCAAAAAGTCAAAGAAACAAAAATGAATTTCCAGTGCAGCACCTGCCAAAATGTTTTACATTTTACACACCAAAATAACAATCAATAAAAATTTCAACGTGTCCCTTTCAAGAATGAAAGGTTAGGAATCTGCCATGTTGTCAACTGCCGATAAGTTGAACAGGGTCCATTGGTCCAACATTGCAACGATTTGGTGTGCCACGGTCTACGGAGCTTCCAATTTACACACATTCTCTTATAACAATAGTGGTTTTTTTTTTTTTTTTTTTTTTTACTATTTTTATATTAAAAATTTGAAAATAATTTATTGTTTTTATCTTTTAAAAAATAAAATTAAATAAATAAATGTTAGGAATAAGATGAATAATTAAACTTAAATTATAAAAAAAGAGAAATACTGTCTCTCTTAAAATATAAATAACAATTAATCCATTACGAATTTTAAATAAAAAATTATTATTTTTTAATTCTATTAATTTTTTTAATTTAAAACGTTTAAAATTAATTTTTTATTTTTTATTTTAAAAGATCATTTAATATGTTTATTTTTATTTTTTAAAAAATAATTACAACACAAATTACAACAAATAAATTTATTTCAATAATAATTAATTAGGGTTAAATTTAAAATTTAATCAATTAATTATTATATTTTTATTTTATTACAAATTTATATATATTAAAATTGAGCAGAGAAAAAGTGTTTAGTTTTCTTTTTTTTTTTTGGGAGGGGTAAAGAGGGAGTGTCATTCTAGAAACAAACAATGAAGAAACTAGTACTTAGCTAAGCATGCTTAGAAAAGCTCTCATTAAGTAAAAACTTTTACCAGCTTTTCTAGACATGCTTCGTATTTCTACCGGCTTCGGCTCTCTCTTTCTCTCTCTTTCATTTACTAAAAAAACTTTGCTCCCTTTCTGCTAGTACTTTGCTCTTAGTGTTATTTCTAATTCTTGCAATTCCCCACACTCCTGGATGATGATAGCAAAAGCCATTGCCTTTGTGCGAACACCACCTGTGGGTTTAGAGTTCAAACCTCAAGTTTTTTGCACCAAGAATAGGGGAGGTCTCACTACGTTCAGGGCATCAGACCCGCCACAATTGCTGGTGTTTGAACCTTAGGCTTTGATATTACCACTGATAGTTCAGGGCACTAATCTTGTTGTTAAGTAATCAGATCAACAGCAACACTTAAATAAGGGTTTAACTTAAGAAGATATTAATTTAAAGGATAATGATTGATACACCAATAGTTCAAGATACTAATTTCATTGTTAAGTAATAAGATCAACAGCAACACTTAAATAAATGTTTAACATATGAAGATATTATTTTAAAGGACAATAATTGATACACCTTTCAGTTTAACACACTTAACAACACTCACTGATTCAATCATTAAAAAACTAATATTTTCAAATTCAGAAACTAATATTTTCAAATTTGAATTCAAGACGAAAAAGTTTTTAAAAGTAAATTTTAATGATTAAATCGGTGTATATTGTTAGGTGTGTTAAATTGGAATGTATACCAATTCTTTTCCTATTTTAAATTTTGATATCATCATTTGTAATTTAGGGTACTACTTTTGTTTTTAAATTAAGTAATACGATCAACAATAACACTTAAATAAAAATTTAACATATGAAGACATCATCTTAAATTTAAAAGATTAACTATACTAAATTAATAAATCTCTACTTATATAAGGGTGCGTTTGGGATTACTGTGAATTGTTGTGGCTGTGCTTAGCT